TGAAACAATGAAACTTGTGTATTGCCATCTCTGTGGTTTTAGGTATAAACTCGCTCAAGAGCATGGAGATCTTATCAATCTCCATGACTGGCACCAATCATTCAAATCAGTAGTTCTCTCTCCAAGTAGTACTAAAAGGAAATCAATGCAGTCCCCATTACCAAAGAAAAGAAAAGACAAACGAATCAGAAAACCAGTGTGAAGCTTCCATACAGTATGCTCCGGTGTAGCATTCTTCTAGATTTATTTTCAGTAAGTTGATGCAGTAACATTTTTTTTGGCATGCACTGGAGCGGCGATAGATCGAGACTTGCACCATCGAGTGATCAAAAGTTGCATTGATAGGCATATTTATTGCATAAAATTTCTTTCTTTTAGATATAATAACAAAATTGACAGGGCCCACTCGGTATCCAGATTATGAGCAGGATACACTCAATTATTATATTTTATTAGTGCTGAACTTAGAACTCATGTCCTGTATATAGTCTGCCTTCACTTAACATTGCCTCTCTGCTTCGATTTTTTTTTTGTCTGTTATTTAATTTTGTAACATACTAAATCCTATTTGAGAATAAACATCCATGAGACTCCTTAACCATTCTTGCTATAGAGCATGCTTTTGCAGGGCTGTAACAGAGCTCCGAATCACAGGGCTTCTTGAATGCCCAATAAACGACAACCAGATTTTGCTGATCAAGTGGCCTTGGGATTGTAACATAATTGATATATCAATATTTGTAGGTAAGTTTTGCTTGCTTTTCTTTAAATTTTAGAATTGCTTCCCTTTTTTTTTAAGACTACAAAAAATGTAGTTCTTTTGTAACAATGTTATTCTTTGTAAAAAGGGTATGGACACCATATATATATATATATACACACACATATACACACACTTACCATACTAACACATCAAACCATTCGGCTGGTTTGGTGGGTGATTAAGGCTAGTTTGTTTTGTTAAAACTGATTTTCAGAAAATATTTAAAAAATATATATATTTTTGGAAAAATTAGAAAATTTTAATTGTTTGGATGTATTAATGAAAAATATTTTTTGTTATTTGATTGTTTTTTGAAAATTTTGTTTTTTAAAATAATATTAATATAACTATTAAAATATTAAAATTATTTATTATTAATATTCAAGAATAATTATATTTTAATAATAATATTTAATATTAAATATTATATTAATATAAAAATACTTAAAATAAAACTATTTATTACTTTTATATGAATATTTTAAAATATTTAAAATAGTATTATTATTCTTAAAATATTATTTTATTAATATTAAAATAGTAATATTTATTATTAAAATATTTATATTTTATATTGAAAATGTCTATTATTAAATTATAACAAAAATATTTTTATTTATATTTATTACTGAAATAATAATTTATGTACCTTAATAAATAAAAATATAAAATTATATTTTTTAAACTAAAAAATAGTAAGAAATTTAAAATATTCATATTAAGAAAATAATATTATTATATTATTTAACATTAATTATTAAAATAATAAAAATATTATATATTATTATTTATTATTAAAATAATAATATAATACTATTTATTATTGAAATGGTAAAAATATTTATGCTTATAATATACAAATTAAAATATTTAAAATTGAAATATCAAAACTTATAATGTTAATATTTTATTTTTTAATTAAAATTAAATAAAATATTTTATAAATATAATAATATTTTAAGTTGAATCAAGTTAAATTTAAGTTTAAAATATTATATTTAAAGTCTTAATTAAATAAAACTATAAAAATATTTAAAATCAAAATATTAGAAAACTTTGAATATTAATATTTTAATATTTAAGTAAAATTAAATAAAATATTATTTATTAATATAATAATATTTTTGATCATATCAAATTAAGTTTGAGTTTAAAAAAATCATCTACAAGATTTGACTTAAGTAAAATTATGTTCAATCACATATTATTATGATAAGTAGTTTTACTCAACATTTTTTTTTCAAAAATTATTTTTTCCTTTTCAAGAAAGGAATATAATTTTCAAAAAAATTATCTTATTTTTTGTTGATCAGTCAACAATTTTTTATTGATCAATCAATTCTTTGTAAAACAAATATTTGAAAATGAAAAAATTATTTTTGGAGAAAAAGCCTAAAATAGAAGGATTGCGGAGTTTAGAGAAGATTAAGGTAATAAAATTGGTAAATGATTCTTAACTTATATTCACAGATAAGGTGACTACAATTTAAAGTTTCCTAAAATATTAATCAATACAATTGATAAAGGCTTCTTTTGGACGGATTTGTATTGCTTCATTATGTTATTTTGAAATTGAAAAGATTCAGTCTTAAAATGATTTGATGGCTTAATAAAAATCACGTTTCATCTATCATTCAAATGAAAACAAAAAAAAAAAAGAAGCTGTTTCTTGAAAAGTTATATGGTTAAGCTTAAGTGTCTATGCATTTATTTGTTTTATTTTTTGAACAAGTAAATATCAAACATATCCTTTGATTGCAATTATGAATGAAAAATTAAAAATTAATTTAATTTTAATTCAGGATTTTTCTTTATTTTTTAGGATAAAATAAACTTATCATGATAAATATTAAATTTCATTTTATTTTTAGAAGATGAATAAAATTTATTATTTATCTTTAAGGGTTCTACTCCATATTTTACCTTAATTTGATTCAAAATAAATGTTTTATTTTATATATTTTTTTCATAATTTATATTTACTTAATTTAATTTTTATATTAAATATTTTTTTTATTTAGTGCAAGGAGTTTTTAGATATTATCTAGTATATCTCTTCTTTGAGTTAATCTAAATAGATTTATTTATGTCGAAATTAACAAATTTATAAGAAATTATTTTTTCATAAAATTTTAATGAATTTAACTCTAGACAATTTGTCTTTTAAATTAATCATGTTATAATTATATTTAATACTTTTATTCATGTGAATCTTGTATGTTAATTTTAAATTAATTAAAGATATTTACTATTTATTTGTTTAATGTAAAATTTTTTAACTATTCAATTATTTTTTTAAAAGTGTATTATTTATAATTTTTTATTATAATTTTATAATTGTTCAATTATAGTAAAAAATTATATAAGATTTATAAGTTATATTTGATGTATAAGATTATTGATATGATAAGATGATTATCATTCTGTATTATGTTTAATTTGTATCCAAAGTAAAAAGAATTATTTTTAATTTATGAAATTTAATTTACATGTTTAATTATATTTTTAAAAATTATATTAATAATTTAAATTATATAAACTTTTAAAAAATAAAATTTGATAAATAAATAAATAAATTATTTTATTCTAAATTTTACATATATCAAATATAAAATAAAATAATATTATTTAATTTTATTTAATTTTATCTTATCATATTTTATGTATCAAATATGATTATAATTTTTAAATATAAGTTATTCACAAAAAAATTAATAAATTTAATATAATTTTAAATTATAAACAATTAATTACATTAAAATAATTATAGTTGAGATAATTGTAGCTGAGATGGTGGTTTTTTAGTTAAAATTTGCGATTGGCCTTCAACCAAGTGCAAGTATTGTGTAATACTCGGGCTGTTTTTTAAAAAAGCGTCTGGCATGCACATGAAGCTCGTCCATACATTGTGTCGGTGCGCTTCAAAATAATAGCAGGAAACTCACACACGCTAGTTTATGAAAAAAGGATACTCGCGCACATCTGACGTTGATTTGCCATTTTAATGGACAAAAATTCTCCTTTGTTGAAGACAACAATAAAAAAGCGAGTATAATCCATGATCTAAATCAAGCAGTCACCAGCTAAGTAAAGAGGAAATACAGTACAACCACAGTTTGACAAGCAAAAAAATCCGCGGAAGTAACAATTTCCTTGGGCGCTAGAAATGGAAATTGAAAAAAATAAAAAAATATTATTGGATTGGGCAACAGGCTGGGGCACGAAGTCTGCTCTTTTCCAGTTAGGTTGCTATTTTTTACTACGAAGTACAAATAAATGAAAAATGTTTTGTTTTTTTGGTACAAGCCAAGAGTATACAAGCTGCTCTTAAAGATATGGAATCATGAACATATATAATACCGTGAATACGACAGTATTAATCTTTTTTTATGGTTTTTTAATAATAATAATTAAAAATTAAATATATTTATTTGAGATTATTACTTATAATCAAGTATATTGTATCTTATATACGAAATCAATGAATTAAATATAAAACATTTATCCAAAAAATGAAAATAAATAATGTGTTAAATTTAATACAAAATTAAAATAAAAATACATATAGAACCTTATAAACATCTACTTCTATCTCATTTTATAACTATAAATATAAACAAATTTATATGATTTTATATTATTTATATAAATATAAATATAAATAAATAATTTCGATAATTTAAATAATTAAAGCCAATTATAAACATATTTACAATAAATTTCACTTGTTAATGCAAATTTTGTTTAATATGCGGCTGTTTAATTTTATTTGTTTGTATAAAATATAATTATATAATAAAAAATTTAATAAATATTAATTTTTTTAAAAACACACTCATATAACTGATAGTATTATAAGTGATTTTGATATTAAAATACATATTATATAAAATTTGACATAACATGTAAGTTATTAAAAAGTTTACTGTATCTTTTATTTTGAAAAACACTCCAAAGAGGATTAGAATTTGCCCTTATATTTGCTAATACTTCAATTTTCTTTGCTTTGCTTAGATATTATATATTTAAAAAAGCAAAGTAAATAGAAAAAAAAAAAGAAATTTACTTGTCACTTTTATCAAAAGAATAAATAAAGAAATAAATATACATCTGACTAAAACACGTGTAAGAAAATCCATTGTTGTACGCGGAAATCATGTCTCCTTCCGTCAACAGGGAAAAAAAAAAAAAAACTGCTGGTTTCCCACACTTATTTCACCGCTAAATCCTCGCTCCAACGCTTAAAATTCCCAAACGCAAAAATCTCCATTGAGTGGAATCAAAATTAGAGAATTTCGAATTTTTAGAATTTTCTTTTCTTTGAATTTCCACTTCTATAAATAGACTCCTAAGAGTCCAGCACCAAGTAAATGCAATTCCTCCCCTTTCTTCTTCTTCCTTTCGAAACTTTGCATTCCCATTGTTCTTTCTTCATTATCAAGAATTTCAAGATCCACTCTGTCTTCATTTCCCTGGTATTCTTTCTCTTCCTTTACTTTTGTTTCTTGGGTTTCTTTTTTACTTTATTTTTTGTTTAATTATTTGGTTTTTTTTTTCTGGGTTTTAAGCGGATAATGTTGCCGATCTGATGGTTGTCTTGTTAATTATTATATCTCATTTTGGTTGATGTTTATAGACAGTTCTGCTTTTTTTTAATATATTTGTTTATTTTTGTTTATTTATTTTGTTTAATATATGGCAAGCACCGGATTGATTGAATGTGAACCTGATTTTGCTTTAGTTTTATGCTTTTGATGCTTTCTTTTTTAGATTAATAGGTACATTATTAATTCCAGCAAATCTCCATTGCTGGCCGATCTATAAATTCTCTATGAGAACTGCGGTCTGAATAGGTAAGAGAAAAGAGAAAACAATGTTAAAAAAAAAAAAAAAAACTAGGAATTTCATTCTGTCATTCTTTACTAATTGGCTAAGAAAAAAGTGTCCATGTCAGTCAAGAAAAGAGAAATTTTCCTTGTTTCTACTTTTCTTCATATTGTTGATTATTAAAGTTTATGGAAATTGCTGTATTAACTGAAATGAAATAAATTTTACAAAATATGCAGATCTTTGTTGTAGAAGAAAACTGCTACTAGCAATGACTTTGGCTAATGGCAATGCTCACCAAGTTACCAACAACGGGGATGTAAGCAAACCCTTCAAGATTTTTGTTGGTTATGATCCACGTGAGGATCTAGCCTATGAGGTCTGTTGCCATTCAATCTTGAAACGCTCATCAGTTCCTGTTGAGATCACACCCATTGTTCAGTCAGATCTTAGGAAAAAAGGCCTTTATTGGCGCGAAAGGGGTCCGTTGGAGAGCACTGAGTTCTCCTTTTCACGGTTCCTGACACCCTTCTTGGCAAATTATGATGGTTGGGCAATGTTTGTTGACTGCGATTTCCTTTACTTAGCTGATATCAAGGAGTTAACTGAGTTGATTGATGATAAATACGCAATCATGTGTGTTCATCATGATTACTCCCCGAAAGAGACCACGAAAATGGACGGTGCTGTGCAGACTGTTTATCCCCGGAAGAATTGGTCTTCTATGGTGTTGTACAATTGTGGTCATCCAAAGAACAAAGGGTTGACTCCAGAGGTTGTGAACAAGCAAACGGGTGCTTTTCTTCATAGGTTTCAGTGGCTTGAAGATGATGAAATTGGATCAGTCCCGTTTGTTTGGAATTTCCTTGAGGGGCATAACAAGGTTATTGAGAATGACTCCACAACATTTCCTAAAGCTATACATTATACTCGTGGAGGGCCATGGTTTGAGGCATGGAAGAATTGTGAGTTTGCTGATCTTTGGGTTAAGGAGATGCAAGAGTACATGGAAGAAAAGAAGTCAAATGCAAATTAATTCAAATCTGCATAGTGCAGTAGTATTTTCTAGTATCCGTTTTACTAGTATGTCAATTTACTCTTGCTCTATATTTTTTTATATATTGAATCTGTCTTGTGTATCCAAGATCTGATTATGCTTTAGGGAAGAGCTATTTTCTCTATGGTTTAGGGTTTTCAACAGGTATTGCAGGCTATACATTCATGCCTCATCTTATATGTAATTTTTCAATTTTTTATTTGTTCAATTGACTGCATTTGGGATATGATCCCTAATATGTTATGAAGTATCATTAATTGTTTAATGAGAAGTCCTTCTCTTGTTTTTCATTTGTTGTTGGAATTGATCTTCTTCTCAAATGAGGAAACAGGACTCGGTTTTGTGACACTGTTTTTCTGTTCTGATAAGGTGATTGCTAAATTGATGGATGAAATCTTTGTTCATTGAGTTTGATACTTACCATGTGTTTTCCACTTGTGGATGTGAGTGAATTGTTGCAAACATTTCCATATCTGTTGCTTTAAATATATCAGGTAATCAATGAATATGATTGGCAAAAGAGAAAACAGAATTTGCATTTGCTTGGCTTTTGTATTATTTGAAAACTTTACTTCATGTGTCCTCCATGTGCAATTACGATTATTTGCTTGAGTCATTACCTCACAGAGAAGTTGTTTCCCCAAAGGCAAAAGCTGAAATGTGGCAACTTTATTCAACCTGTGCTGGAAATTTGCTCCACTGCTGTTTACTTGTCCCTTAATTGAGGCTCTTCCACATTTTTTCCTGTGTCTCTGGGCCTGCTGGTTATTGGGGTCCTGTTCCTTGACTTTACATGCACTTCCTTAAAGGAGAATTTGCGCATGAGTTCCTGATATCTATGTTACATGCGCTCTTCACTTTAACTACACTTTAAATTGATAGTTGTATAGTAGCAGTATAGCTTCTGCCGAGAAAAATACAAATTGCAGAGTGATATTTGTAGATCCGACGAATGAAAACACGATATGGTAATATAACATAAAAAAATAATAAAAAAAAAGTGATGATTTAAAAATTTATATTATATGAGTTTAATAAAAAAATATTATTTCATGTTTTTCAAGAAAACATAAATTGTAACATGCAAATTTCATATAAAATATAATATAAATATATAAATTTTTAATATTTTATATAATATAAATACAAGAATGGTTAAATTCTCCTCTGTACGAGTGAAGCAGCACTGGTGCAGTCTCTTGTTTGAAGGTCAAGGGGGGCATTATGCCTGCCAGTTCAATCTGTGGATTTTCTGGTACAGCCTTGGAAATCCACACAAATGAAGCAGCACTGGTGAAGTTTCTTGTTGGAAGGTCAAGGGGGCCATTATGCCTGGCCAGTTCAATCTGTTGATTTTCTGGTACAGCCTTCGAAATCCACACAAATTTTGCGTTTTATTGCCAAAAGGACGCTTCTAGGATTTGGATATCGGAATGGTCCCCCTCAAGTATTTCATTCATTTCTTTGATCCCAAATGCACCAATCAGTCATAGGCTACTTACGCATTGGCTGAACAACCAATGGACCTCAGGCTTCTAAAGTTACTCATTCCTGAGATCTAAAATTGAAAGGAGAATCATGAGCATGGGCCTCACTTCAGCCTACAAATATTCGTATTGGACCTGCCATAAGGGCTCAAGGAGTAAAGCTTTAAGTTGGTTTCAAAATGCGTCATTCTTTCGATCTCAACAAATGGCAGTACTTAAAAAAAAATACGACTCACATGAACTAGGTAGACTGAATAGTAGGTTCAACAATTTTAGCCAACAGTCGCCTGTTACTTTCATAAAATGTTCAACGTTGAATTTTAATGATTATGATTCAATTTTTTATAATTTTAAATATAAAAGTTAAACAATTTTAATTTGGGTGTGCCACAAACAATGTCATAAAAACAATAAACTTTAATAACAACTTTGCAGTTTGCACCCAATGTTATTTTTCTGTAAGAACTGATTGTTGGCTTGGTGATAATTTTTTTTTTATAAAGGAGGTAGTAATCTTTGTTACGAGAGAGTGTTGAAAATGTCGGAATTCAATAATACAATGTGTTGAATATTATTTTTTAAAAATAATTATATAAATCAATTGAATTAAATTTTAATTTAGTAATATTTTTATTTAAAAATTAAATAATATATGTAGACATCGATTTTGTCCGGATTTACTATTAATTTTAATAATAATAATAATAATAATTTTAAAAAATATAATTATTAAAAAAAAAACAGGAAAAAGAAAAAAAAACAAAAAGTAGGGTGGCTAGTGTACGGCGTTGTTGCCGCCCCCGACCAGCCACCCTACAGCCCATCTCCACCACCCTACAACCCATTCTTTTACCCGACCAGCCCCTTGTCCAGCCACCAGATCAGACAGCCATTTTACAGCCACCCTACCACCACCTATTCCCTTTTGAACTCCTTAAAAACCCCTAATTTCTTCCCCTTGATCGGTTCTATCGGACACACGAAGGGCTTACCCTTAATCATTGCCCAGCTCCCCTTTCAACAAGCTAAGTCCTATCCTAGCACCCCAATCCAAGCCTCCCACAAAACTTCCTGCCTATCAGAAAACCAAAAAAAACCCAAGCCAGACCACAAAAAAAAAAAAAAAAAACAGAAACAAAAAAAAGACAAACACAGTTCTCCCCGCAGGGAGGAACCTAGCGCCAAAGTTACTTGCAAAAGCAAAAAAATCACGTTAGTCTTGTTTCAACAAAACAAAAAAAGGGGGAAATAGAAACTTTGAGCCCCGATCAGCTCGTAAAACGGACGTCAGATTTAGGAAGAACGCGTTGAAGAGCGCTTTTGGGAGTATTATTGAAAATTTTCGACCACTGGCGACCACCGACAACCCTGTTGGTAGCGACTCAGGGGGCGACCGACGAGAGCCTGGAGCTCTCCCTCTCTCTTTCCTTTTTTTTTTTTCTTTTTTTCTGAAACAGAAAATAATGAACCAAAAAAAAATCTTTAGTTATCTATAGGAAAGCAAAACTCAAAACGACACCGTTTTAACCAAAGAGGAACCACGCGTGGACTCGGATCTGATCTGAGGTCCGCGTAAACTGACCCGTCAACCCACTTCAGCTAACCTTGAACCGGTCCAGACGAACCGCCAGTGAACCGGTCTGAACCACTGGACTGCCCTAACCACTGATTGAACCGTAGAACCAGTCCAGACCAATGTTGACTAGATCATTAACCGATCCGATTCAGGTAACAATTTTTTTTTTTGAATTTTCTAAATTTTTTATATTATTATTTTTGTTATTTTGAGTTTATTTATTCTTGCATGATAAATTTTTAAATTTGTTAGAATAAATGTCTTATTGTTTTAATAATAATAAAAATGAAAACGATTAAAAATATATATTAAAAATGTTCAAAAAAATATTTTTTATTATTATTATTTTTTCTACCTAGATGTTAGAGGGAATAAAAAAATATTTTTTTAAAAAATAATTTCCCCTAGATGTTGGAGAATTATTATTAATAAATTTTCATAAAAAGAAATATAAGAAATTTTTAATTAATTTTTAAAAATCATTAAAATCGAATTTGCTTCGAAAATCCATCTAGATGTTGAGGATTTTTAGAGATTTTCGTATTTTCTTAAAAACGAAACCTTAAACACTAATTCTTAATTTTCAAAATCCTAAGTTTCTAAAACCCCCTAAAATCCAAAATCCCCTTAAAATCCAAAATCTTAAAATCCAAACCCAAAAATCTAAAATCCCCTAAATCCAAACCTCTAAAATTCGAAACCCCTAAAATCCAAACCCCAAAATCCAAATCCCTAAAATCCAAAACCCTTAAAATCCAAACCTCAAAATCCAAAATCTTTAAAATCCAAACCCATAAATCAAAACCCCAAACCCTAAAACCCAAACCCTAAAATCTCCAAACTCTAAAATCAAAACCCTAAACCTTCTATATCCTAAAATTCAGGCCTTAAAACCCTATATACCTTAAAATCAAACCTTCAAAACCTCTACTCAAGCTTTTACTCAAAACCTCCTAAAAATCTTAAGGACACATGTGAAAATTCTATTTGAAGCAATTTGTTCCTGAATGCCACCTAGATGATAGGGTATTTAGGAAATTTTACCTCATTAAGTCTTTTCACACGATTTCTTAATTCGTATTAATAATAAGATTAATAAATAAAAAGTATAACAGTAAATTAGGATCTTAAATATAAACAGTTGTACCTAAGCTTTGCCTAGATGTTGGAGAGTTGGGGTGGCCCCATTATACTTAAGAATTCAACTTTTAAATTGCATCTCATCCTACATAACATTCATTAGCATACATACGTTAGCATGTTATTATCAGTATTTATTTGCACTATTCTATCTTTAATTTTTATTTACTACTTGGTGATAAAATATTTTATAATAAAAAGAATAATACATTTTAAAAAAAATTGTGATATTATAAAATAAAATAAAAATAACATTCTGAAAGAAATAATTCTTAGCACTCTGCTTAGATGTTGGAGAGTCACTAATAATTATTTTCTATAAAGATTGTTATTTCATTTTAAGGATTATTGCGTTAAATCTTAAGCAAAAAGAGTTATTTTAAATTCTGCCGTAGATGTTGAAGAATTTTAAGATAATTCTTTAACTTAAAATTTTTTTTAATATTTCTAAATAAAAATTTTTAACAACATTTTATTTTTCCAAATGAAGGGAATTAGTGTTAAATTTCAAATTAAAACCATTTTTATCCAACATTGAAAATAACGCGTAATTAAATGGTACCAATTTATGGGCGTTGTGCGGGTGTAATCCTTTCTCCACACGTAACTGACTCCTGGATCCAACCTGATTTTTCGTAGATCAAAATTTATCTTTTTGATAAACTTTAAATCCGTTTTTATAGTTTTATTAAAAGGATAAAATTTTGGGTGGCCAATCACACCCTAACAAAGATTGGTGGTGACTCCCTTTTATTTTTCTCAATATTAAAACATTTTATGTCTGGCGGTCCCAAAACTGTTATGACAGTTTGATGACTCCGCTGGGAATTTGTTGAGAGTCAGGCCAAAATTTTAATTATGCGCTATTGACAATGGTTGGATTTAATTGATTTTATTTGATATTTAATTTAATTTCTTTTATTTTATTTTTTGAAAACATCTATGTTAATAAATAAAATAAATTATGGGTTAGTTATTACTTCATTTTGATTTTGTTTTTGGTTATGATTTATGTTATTTTCATTAATACATTACCTTGTACACATTTTGCATATTCACTCG